CCCCCCCCCCCTCCTACTCTGGTCATTGCAGTCATGAATGTGTCATAGTCATCCTGACAACAGTGTGGACAATCAAGGCTCCAGATAGATGAATGTACATCAGACATTAATAAGGGTATTATTGGAAACTCAACAAACAGTCAAGATTTTTTTTAAAACTTTGGACTCTGTTACTTTAGATTTTCAACCATGCAATTCTCTTCTGCAATGAGCGTTTCTAAAGCAGTGTAAACCAATAACAAAGAAACCTTTGCAAGATTTATAGTACTTTTGACTGTATAGTGTATTCAGCACATAACTTACAAACATCTTCGTTCAGCCAAGTAACTATTTATTAATCACTTTCAACAGTTATATTTTGTCTATTTTTACTTGACAGGAAATCCGTGGCTGGAGGACGTTGGCTGCTGTGTCCCACATCGGCACTGCCATTCTTAGCTCAGCCATTACAACTATAGTAGCATCAATACCTTTATGTCTGACAGTAATTCAGCTGTTTGCGAAGTTCGGTCAGATCCTGGCCATCAACACTGCAGTGTCCATTTTCTTCACCCTGACAATATGCGTAGCTCTACTATGTATCATTGCACCAGTTAGATTCCGTGCTTCTTGGAAATCATCGTTGATAGCCCTTGGAATTGTGGTAGTAGTGTATGGATTAGGAGCGATGATTCTGTACTTTATAAGTGCAATGGTAGTTGCCATCCCAGGTCCTGCAGGACAGCCCTTGTTTTCTTAACTGCATGCAACTCTTAAAAGAATTTGAGAGTGTTTGCTCAACTGCAGCTCCTTAATAGCAGTGTGAGACAATAATCTTGTAAATGGCAACTTGTTTAATGTATATAGGTAACATTGCTGTATAGTTCTGAAAATGATGATCCCTCTTACTTTTCTTACTCACCACCTTAGAGATAAGAAGAAATCTTGCAATGGGTGAATCTCATGTTGAGGTCACTTGTTAAAGGTTTCAATATAATTTTTAACAGGAGGGAATCCTCTAGGACCAAGGGACCCCTGAAAAAATTTGAAATTCTACTCTTGTAGAAATGGGTTTTCTATCAGTTTGGACCACAAAATCAGTACCACTCAGTTGCCTACAAAAAAATATTGTGGATAACTGAATTGTAATATTCAAGTCCATCATTGCAGGTGGATTTGCTCATAGTTATGACATATTTAGAGTGGGCTCTCGTGCACAGCATTTCACAGTGCATCAATGAGCGAATTTGCTCCACAATTTGAAGATACCAGGGAAATACTGCACACTATAACCAGCAAAATTGTGGTTTATTTGACTTAAAATGAGCTCAACTTTTTAGAAGACTGTTGAAATACTGATGGCAAAGTTCTGTTCACAGCTGGTCAATTTGTCTAGTGGCCAGCCCTTAATGAAACCCCAACTTGTGAGATCATTGCCCCAGTTTTCTTCTTGTTTCTAAAGTGGCGAATTGGTATTTTGCAAGATCTCCTACTATTGGCACTGACTAGCTTGGGGTACTGCTAAAATGTATACCATATGTGGATTAATCACACTATCAGCTAATAGAGGTGTCTGCTCAATTTGGGTTCATTTTAAAGAAAATATTACATTGGGACTTAATGAGGTTGGAAGCTTGCCTTATTGAGGTTGTCAGCTGCATATGAGGTGATGGGTCTGCTTAATGCAGTTCTGATTTCAGGGTGATTTTACTTTCAGAAATGTACAGTATATTGTAGCTGTTTTAAATTACAGCATGCATCACAAGAATTCCATTCTATTAATACCTCTTTCAGTGTTTGTGCTGTTGCAAACCTTATGCATATAGCCATTCACATGTTCAAAGAATCTATTCTTTGCTGCAAGATTCAGTATGGTGGCATAATTATCTCTGGCATTTTGCAGTGGAAATCTTGTGATGCATGGTGCATTTATGGAGAATTTTCAAATTCGTTGGTAAGCATCCATGTTGCTGAATTAATGGTGTTACATAATTTTTAAACTTGTTTTGGGCAAAATGTTTGTTTTTACTAGTACCTAGGATAGCTGTTTATATATTAAATTAGTAGCCACTCAATATGAATCAAATAATTTAGAATAGAAAATCGGAGATGATATTTTTGTAATTTGTTAAGCAGCTTGATCTAGTCGTTCTCTCTACTCTTCAGAGTGAGATTATGACTATGGTCATGTTATTCACTGATGAGTCATGCAAATGAGTCAAGGGGTAACTAGTATATTCAGATGTAGGGAACAAGCATTGTTTTTGTCCCCCATATGCTATTTTACAGGCGTGTACTCAGCTACCTGGCCCATAAATGCAAGTGAGGCACTGGAGGTGACCTTGCTTTGAGACAAATGTCTCTGGGTTTTTGATTTAAATGCCAACTAGTAGCAACTTGATTTGCCCACCAAAAGCAGTGAGGTCTGTATCAAAACAAGGTCACCTTCAGCCTTACTGCCATTCAAAAGCCAAGTTACTGACTGACACAACTGTAACACAACTGTTAAATGGTCTATGGGGTCTTTGAGATTTGACCCTAACCCTGAGGACTTACTGGCAGGCTTGTTGCCAAGCAATGCGACCTTGTCATGGTGACAAGATGACGTAACACACCAGTTTTGATTACTGCATACAATGTGTAAACAATAAGGAAAATGGAAATTTGTCCTTTGGGTAACTTACAAGTAGGAGCAGTTTTAAAATGCTGCAACGATGAGCAGATGACTTGTGGGTTTTAGCTGAAATGCTAGATACTTATCAACCCAAAAGAAAGGTAGTTGTAAATAGTTCTGTAAGTCACGAGCATACTTTCGTCACATTGAGAGAATTTTCTATTGGCTCTCCTTTACAATCATAGTCATTAAATTTGTAAATGGTCGTTAGTCATTTATGTACAGTATTTAGCCCATATTGTGTTTAGAAATTAAATTTAACAGCTTTAAGATTGCTTGTGCTTGTTAGGTATTATATATTTTTCCTTTTCACTTGTGAACAAAAGACCAAGTGTACACCTTACGGTGTCGCTGAGGAACTTACTTTAAATTCCTTGAATTGGTTATGGGTCAATTCGTGTTACCCTATTTAAAGTGCACACTTAACAAACTAACACTTAAAAACAAATTGAATTTAGCCCCTGCAAACGTTTTGGGTATATTTTATATGTAACTATGAAAGTGCATTCAGATTAATTTAGGCTTAATTTCAGCCACACTCTTGGGTCCACTGGACCTCTGAAGTATTGGTTTTTTTAATGCCTTCTATTGTGAAATTATCTGACTGTTTTTTTTCCCACTGTACTTAGGAATTATTGAGTATAGTTTGTGTTCCTCAATAAAATGGTGTTTATAAAACACAAAACACACAATGTGTAATCTTATATGTTTTGAGGTCTGCATATTGGAAGTGATATATCAAACACGAAAGACCATGTTTGACCACATTTCCAAACACTGAGAAGAGAGTTGAAAATACGACGCACAGGGGAGTATTTTTGACGAACTTCGAGGTGTTTGGAGATGTGGTCAAACACTGCCATGAGTGTTTGATATATCTTCTCAACCGAAACTAAAACGGAGGAGAAAACAAAGAAATAAAATCGTAAAAAATCTCTGCTAGTTAAGATCAGATATCCAGACGCCGTCACGGTTCTGATTTCCTTTGTTTCAACTTGATGAATTATTAATGAGTTTGAGAACTAAGAATACAGTGTAACCATAGAATGCATTAAATCCTGGACATCCATGTTATGTATATTAGGTGGGGAAAACCTTTGACTTAATCATGTTAGTTTATGGTTTTCCTTTTGGTTTCTATAGGTAGCTTCACATTCTGTAGTAGTCTTTTTATTCTCAGCACTATTGTTTTTCACACAGCCATTTTCATGTTGTAGTTTTAGCAATTATTAATATCCTAGACGTCACAGCAATTGGCGGTTAATCTGACAATGGATGTTCATGCAGGACATCTGAAACGTATGAAGAGTGTATACTGTAAATCCTCAAATTGGGACCTCCCCTCAAATAAGTGCCCATCCTATGGGCAAAAAAAATTTTAAAATGTCACCTCCCCCCACCCCCGTTTTTGTTGAATAAGCATCTCACCTCGCCCATTTTATGGATGAGTACCAAGCATACCCTAAATACTCGAATTGGCACCTCCCATTGAACAAGCACCTATCATATGGTCCTAATTTTGAAAGAAAAGCCCCCTCCGTCAAATAAGTGCCCACTCCCCTCACCCTGTAGTTCTTCAAGAGAAAGAGGATCCTTTTGAGGGGACTGACAAGGCCTGATGAAGAGGATGTGGCTGGTAATATTCACATCATTGATATGGATGAGGACAGGGAAGAAATCCAAATTGATAATTAGTATGACCACATTTGCTGAATTAGTCAACAGTATTAGATTTGTACATTGTTTTAGTTTGAGAAAATGTTACTTGTAAGTATGGAAAAATAATTGTATAAGTACCAACTGAGCTGCTATGAAAACTTCAGGATCACCATTGTACGTTTGTACACACAGCTTATTGTTTAGGCCCAAAATGCTATTTCAAAAAATAATCATATTGCCTCTCCCCCTCAATTAAGTGCCTCTCTTGAATTAGTCCCCCCTGTCCTTTCCTAAATTTGAATTAAACTCCCCAGGCACTAATTTGAGGATTTACTGCAGTTGAAGACCCATTGCCTTCTGTTACTTCAATCTTTAACAATGTTTTTGCAGTCAACTCTGAAGTGGACATTATAGAACCAACTAAATTGACCTAATTTGTAAACTGATCCAATAGAGACTCATATTGCAATTACACACTTACAGTCTCAGAAGCTTAGCAGTAACACATTGACATTTGAATTAAACAGTGAAGTAAGTAAAGAGTAATTAAAGTTATTGTCACTATTTACTGGCACAGAAGAAAACCAAATTGTTGGAAACATTTGAATGGCTTTGTAGGGGAAGCCTTGAGTTTTTGAGATGCTGGGAGATTAAATGAAGTGTGCAACCAGATTGCCCATGTCTGTTTCAGTCACTGGCAAATTTGAAATAACATCATCCTGTTCTTAAAATGAATCAATTGTCCGAAAAGAATACACTTCGTGTCCACCTTGAGAGGTACCTTTCACAAGATTGGAAGTTTGCTTAAAATAATTACCACTGTTCAGCTTTGAAAAAATGTTCACCTTATAGTCGATTTTCAGAAAAACACCACAAATTTGGGTGAGATCTGCCATGCTACCCGCCTTGGAGAGGTGCCCACTAAGTAGAATTTAATATAGGTTGAGATTAAAGGATTTAAAAAGATAATACAAGTTCATTCTCACCGGAAACAGTAACTTTAATTTACAATGTAACTGAAAAAACTCAATTCCAAGTCAGTTAAATATTAATAGTCCCTTTCCAAAAGCATGTACATGCTCAAAGGAAATCCAATTGTGCCCATTAGGTACACACATTAATTTTGTACACATACTTTAATTTGTAAGTCAGAAAACAATGAATGCTGTAGACGTTTTAAAGCTTGGGACAAACAGCGCCCATATTTATAACCTACGCACCAACAATCATCCAATGTTTTCACAGCTTTACAACATGTACAGCAACTTCAAGTAATTTTTAAAATATGTTAAAAAAATACATTGCTTGTCAAAATATGTAACCACAACTTTGATAAATATCAGTTACACGACATTAAGACCTACTTTAAGACCTAAGGATTTTTAATTCAGCAACCCACAAAATCACGACTACAATGGTCTTATCCTAATGTCGTCACCTATTCACTGATGATGGTAATTTAAGTGACCTAGCTAACAGAGCAGCGGCAGCAACATCAACATTGCCATTTTTCCTCTGTAATTCTAAAATAGCTTCCTCCCTTGTGAATCCCATTTCAACTATCCTCTGAATGCTAGCTTCTGGAAAACTGGCTACACCTGCCCCAGATGAGGAACTGGAAACACCCGAAGCCGATGAAGACTGCGATGGAAGTGATTGAGAAGACGATGAAGAAGACGTGCCTTGAGCAGCCTCCCTTACTGATCTGTCCATTGCTTCTGCAAGCTCCTTGTCTTCCATTTCAGCTAGCTGTTTGTCCTCAACCTCCATTTGTCCCCCTTCTTCACCAAATGCCAGACGATCAGTCACTGGCAGTTCAGACTCAGCTAGGAAGGGTGTTTCTGTTCCAGTAGTTCCAATTCTCAGTACATTGTTTTTGAGGTCGATACAGCACTGAAGAGTGAAACACAACAAGCATAAGTATGTTAGTTAATTTATTCATTCCATATAGCTGCTCAGTTGCTCTTAATGGCAGCCTGTATTGGCTGATAATGTTACTTATATCAGTTCAACTTTCCCTGACCAGCATAAAAAATAATCCATGAATCAAATTAAGCCGCTTCATTACAATGTAAATAATGGGCTATGATATTTGTTCATTATCATTCAATGCATTTTCCCATCCTTTTCACTGACCGAGAGCCCACCACATGACTAGCAAATAACTGTCTGCAATGGTCTCCTCATATAATTCTACAGGTCTAGATGTGTTTTGCTGCAAATAATATTCTGCTCATGTGTAATTGGAACCATGCCCTTGAGTGACAAACAGCAGATCCACTCCCTGAGCTGTCAGAGAGTGATTTGAATATGAAAACAAACTTGGTGATCAAATGACAAACAATTATTGAACTCGGTTATTGCAAAGTAATGTGACTTGTCAGTGTCTTGCAGATCAATATTTGTCTCTGCCTTTGGCCCTGGCAAATAATTAATTGACCTGCTTGTCACTGACAAACTGTGATTTTTGGCTCAACCTCATCCAATAATAATTGTTTAACTGTTGAATTAATTAATGTTAACAAGACGTCTTTTTATTTTTTAACCTCGTTAACTTGATAAGTACCATATATAAACTGCAGATTATAATTCACATGCAGTTCTCCCTTTTAATGTGTATTCACACTGATTCATGCAATGAAATAATCTTGTTAGTCATTAAATGAGAGCACATTAAATCATTAGTTTTCCAAGACTTCACCTAAAATAAAATGGTAACAACTTGTCTTTTATGTCCTCTTACAAGTGCATTTTCTTATTGTAAGTTCTGTAAAACTAAGAACATCTCACCTGGTGCCTTTTAAGCATATCTAACCCCAAAACAAGATCCATTGGTTGGTCCTCCATAACAGAAAAGGATGATGGCAAAAAGTCATTCTCTATCTGGATCTGAGCCACGTGAACACGTCCAACAATTTTCTGCGTTCCCACGCCCTTTGCAATTCCTGCCCACCGCTGATCCAGCAGCCGCATAATGTGACACCTCTCGGCACAGGCTACACTCATGAACGTCATCTGGGCTCCTGAATCAACAAAAGCTTTAACAGGGTGTCCATCAAGTTTACAGTTAATATAAAGCATGACCACCTTGCCAAAGGATTCTGGAGAGTACTCCATAGCTATCTCCATATTCTGATTGACATTTGACATGCGAATCTCCTCGGCAATTTGTTTTTGAGCCTCTAAGTCAAAGGGATCAGCATTCATGGTGCGAATCCTCTGCATATCTCTGTCAGCCCTCTCTTGCCGTTGTCTTTGAAGCATTGATGCGAACTCTTGTAAATTTCCACTCAACAGTGCAGCAGCAAGCTCTGGATTTCTTTCTTTGAGTAGAGAAAGTTGGTGGGGATCAGCTAGGAACATGTCTCTAATGTACTCAGGACTGTCTGGGTCCACAGGTGTCTGCCTCAACTGTCCTGAGCCTGCTTGATTGCGGCCTGATTGGGGACGAGATGAGCTGTTGGGTATTTGTACATTACCCCAGTTTAAACTGCCAGTTGGAGCAGTTCCTAAAAAAATTCAAAATACAAAGAAATTTTGAAAAAAAAAATATGATGAAAACATACCTTTTTAAAGGTATGGTCTCACAGCTTGGCACATGTGCAAGCTTTAACATTAGCCCATTCGATTCCATTGTTTATTAAACAATTAAAAGCAAGCTGATAATTTTTTAGGGAAATTTTTCTTTGAAAGTTTCATGGTCAATCATGTAAACATTGCAATAGAGGTGGTATATCTGAGTGGAATTCATTTTATGTGTTCCATCTCCCATACACACTCAGTTGCTTTCCTAATGAACCAATCAGATATGAGTAGTATAACTCATGCATGTGTCCTGAAAAACCTTTGCCCTAATTAATAAATTTGATGTTCAATAATGAATTTGTCACTCTCTGTGTAAATGTTAATTGTGCATGATTGTTGAACTACACATGATTCAGTAAAAAAGTGAAAAAGTTACTTTACACTAACACTGAAGCTTGAGCATATGCTGAAGCTCTCCCTTTAATAATAATGTGGTATAAGCATTTGACATCACAACTGTATCTATGAGTTTGTCTAGGTACAGCTACTTGGAAACCAGTCTTAGCAGAAGTGTACTACAATGTTTTAAAGAATGATTACTTACTTACAACTTTCACGGTTGCTTAGCAACCAGTCTAGAAAAGCCATTCCTATTAAAATGTTGTCCACAAGTTGTGATCAGTTTAAAAACAAACAAAACACATGCTAATGTTGATTTATAGAAGTTTATCAGTGTATCTGTGAACACTACGAAGGAATACACTTACACGATTTCTGACAACGAAGATCGTCACTGAATTGACTTGATGATGTCAGCATTTTCTATGCCGCACGTGTTAGTCATTCAATGGAAGGTTTTCTTGCACGACATACATGTAACTTTTATATTGCAAAAGCAAGTTGTTTAATGAACCTTACCATGAAAAGCACATTGAAGATCAAAATCTTAAGTTCCATTCGTAGAAGACTTAAGCCTAACTCGCTGGCTTTAACAGGATCGATCAAATTAAATTTTCCATAGTTCACCACAAGTAATCTAGTACAAAATATAAACTTAACTTAACCTTACTAAGTTATTAGCTTTCTTTAAGGCTAAAGTTACAACATACCTCGTAACTGAGCAGGAGGTTGTGTGGACCGTAAAGCACGCTGTATCAGGAGGACATCGCCATCTTTAATTCCATAACCATTCAACGTCTTCTTGTCATCGCCAAGTGGAACTCCGTTGTGAAAAATCACTATTTGGGACGACTGAACTCCGCACTCGAATTCCAGTAGAGCTTTGAAGTTTTCGAGCTCTAAATCCTCACTGACGTCGAGTGTGAATATCTGATCGCCCTCTAAAGTAGCTGTGACCTTCATCTTCCCACTGAAGAATCGAACAAGTGCTATAAAACAATAGCTATTACCACAATTAAATAGTAAATGCTTTGTAACTCTGACAAAGCTAAGCGGAAATGAAGAAACTAGTTTCCAGGGTCCTATCTGCCAAGCCGTTTGTATCGCAAGGGGTTGTGGGATTGATTATTTGTGCTTGCAAAGTTGCCTGGGGTTGAAGCAGAAATCGGCTGCAAAAATATTACCTGTATTTTTCTGCCGCCTTTCTTCTGTATTTTATAATTTTCGGCATCAAAGATGAGTTCTCACGAGGATTCTGGTCACAAGTAAGTACAATTTTCCTAACGAATAACGGGTATATGCAATACTGCATTGGTTAAATTGCTTTGGAAAGTCTCTGAAGCTGTTTAGGTAATTACTATCAAGTGTATTCCACAGCATCGATCTTCGCCGATGTTTTCATATTGTATATGTATGAACAAAATTGAATGGTTTTACTTTTGAAAAACGTTAAAAAGGAAGAGGTTAATCCTGATATTTTCTTCTGTTCCATGTTTCTAGCACTTTATCATTCTTCACTCTTGAACTTCTGTCGATGTTTCATTTTGCCTAGCAACATAATTGCCGAATCGTATTTCGTTTTCATCCATAAATCTTTCCTTTCCTTTATACCTTGTCGGTCAGTTCTTGTACGAACCGAATGTTTCTTCTGATAGGGTGCTTGTCTGTTTGAGGGAACCTCAAAATATAATTTTATAAAATTGTAGATATTTGATTGTGACACATTTACTGCAATTAAAAAAACTTCATTAATAATTTCGTTACCTTTTTTCAATTTCCTTCTTGGTAGTGGTTTGATATTTTAAGGAGAAGCTGCTTATTAATTGCTCTTTCATCCTTATAGTATACCCTCCAACAGTACCAAATATGTTACAAATGAATATATGAAATATCACATATAATTTTGAACTGTGGAGAAAGAGATGAAGACATGATTGATCATGGCAGTTGGCAGTTGTACACACAACTTAAGCAGTTGCAGAATTAACGCCAGGCTCAATTTCACAGCTGCTTAAGTTGTGTGTACAACTGCAATGATCAGTCGTGTCTTCAGTACCAATGTTCATTACTCTATATATACAAAATCCAATTTTACTTTTTAACTCTGTAGGGATGATGAAGAAACTCCAGAGAAAAGTCTATGGCTCAATGCCCATCAGGATCCAGTGGCTAGACTGTACACGTTCTCCACATCAATTTCTTTAGCTGATCTGAATGCCGACTCTGACCACAAGCTCCTTGTGGCTGATCTGGGTTCGGGAACATTTGACATGAAGCTAAAGGTGTTCAAGGGCACTAGCCTTTTCATGGAGAGTGCTATTATTGATCTACCTACAGCTCTGGTAACATTCTACATGGATACAAATGATCCTCGCACCCCTGCTGTGGCTGTGGCTTCTGGTCCATTTATTTATGTTTACAAGAACTTGAGGCCATACTTCAAGTTCACCCTACCACCATTGGATGTAAATGCTGTGGAGCAAGACCTCTGGAACCAGGCCAAGGAAGACAAGATTGATATTCACGTTCTCAGAGAGATGTTGGAAAGTTTAAAAAATGAAGGCAGTGAAGGTTTGCTGACTGTTCGCTCGCTGAAGTTGCTATCCCTTGAGCCAGAAGAGTTAGAAGCTTTTGCCAGCATCCACAAGCATACTCCTTTAAAGAGGCAGACGGTGATCACATGCATGGGAACGATGAAGAAGAGCATGGCTGATGATGACGCTGTAAGTTGTCTGGTAATCGGCACAGAGAGTAAGGATGTCTTCGTCCTTGATCCTGAAGCTTTTACTGTTCTTGCAAGAATGAGCCTTCCTAGTGTACCAGTGTTCATCTCAGTCAATGGTTTGTTTGATGTTGAGTTCCGCATTGTTGTTGCTTGCCGTGATGGCAAGGTATACACACTTAAAAGAGGCAGCAAATTGGCCAAGGCATGCATCGAACTAGGAGCCCAAGCAGTTGGTTTGGAACGCACTGGAAAGAGCATCATAGTCGGGTGTATGGATAACACGTTAGTTTGTTATTCCACTAAAGGAAAGAAGCTGTGGACAGTTTATCTTCCCACCAACATCACCACAATGAGCCTCATGGATCACAAAGCAAGAGGCTTCAAGGCTGTCATGGTGGCATTGAGCAATGGTGAAGTCAGGATCTACAAAGAGAAGTATCTCGTCAACACAATCAAAATGTCAGATGCAGTCACAGCTATGAAGTTTGGTCGCTTTGGTCGGGAGGACAGTGCCTTGATTCTAATCACTAAAGGTGGAGGTCTGTATGTGAAAATCTTAAAGAGGACTGCAACCTTTGAAGGGAAGGATTTGACCCCTGGTCCACCCCCTGCCCAATCCATTAAGCTCAATGTTCCTAAAAAGACGAAGCTTTTTGTCGATCAGACACTGCGTGAGCGAGACAGTGCTGGAAGCATGCACAGAATGTTCCAGCATGATCTGTACCTACTTCGCCTGATGGCTGCAAGAGCATATGTCAGTTCACTGCAAAAAAGCTTAAACCCCATTTCATCCTCTACCACGGAACCTCTGAAGCTGTCAGCGCATGTTCACGGTATCGGGCCAGCCTTCAAGTTGACAGTAAACTTACAGAACATTTCATCCAGTGTGCCATCAACAAATTTGCTCATTACCTTCCAGTTTGATGACTCACTGTATGCACTGTCCAAGCCTTGTATTACAGTTCCACTGCTAGTGCCTGGGCTAATGTACACCTATGAAACACTGGTGGAATGTATCAGTGACAAAGGGATTTCAGATTCCATCAAAGTGTTTGTCTTACATCAGGGCAACAGCATTCCAGTTATCACTGCCGTCATCAATATGCCAGTTAGCGAGGCTTTAGTAATTGTGTAGGAAAGCCTAAATTTGTTTGTAAAACTTTAAGTCTCCTTGGTCTGTATGTAGTTTGTTGTTTCCGTTCATGCCCAAACTGGTGCACTGTACAAAAGTAGGAGGTCAAAAGCCACCGAGAAGCTGGATGGAGAGCTGGGAAAAGTCCCTTTTCCTGCCTGATTCATTGGTCCCATTCCACTTAGTAATCCATGTTTTCTGGCCAATAGTTGACTGTTCAGTGAGATGAAGATTTTTGTATGGAAAATGAATGCAACAAAGCTACACATAATTATTTGTACAATCACTTTCTTATCATTCTGTGGATACAATGTTATGTATTTATCGTGGACCCATTGGCTCATTTCTAAGCTTCTTTCCAAGTGCAGTTGTCAGCTCAGCCCTGGCTATCCATTGTCAAAAAGAATGGTGATTGAGTAATTCTAGTTTCTGTAGAAAAAAGTATTACCAGTGATGTAAATAAATATGTTCAGTACAATAACTAGAAACCAAGATGAAGATTCCCTGAGCTACTTTTGAGAGATTTTCTGTCAGGACTTTTTGCATGGTGAAGAACCTCAGTTAGGAGTGTTAAGCACATTCCATTCCCAATGTGAAAATTTTCAAAGCTTTTTATGTTGCAGTTTTGGAAGGTCGAGTCACCTCTTTCCTGGCTCATAATTTTTATGGGCCTCAATGTTGTATGTCAGAATCGTACAATAACAGGGCCTCTGTAGTTTGTGAATGCAGTGAAAAGTTTGGCATGCTCAGATTGTCCTCTTGAAAACAACTACATGTACTTTGTATAATAATATTGTTATTGTCCATAATAATAACTGGACAATAAAGAACGTGGTTGCCATAGCATTGCCTGCATGTTATGTAAGTAAGCAATAACCAATAAAGATTAGAAACCAACTTAACTGACTATTCAATGCATACATTACAACTGTACATGCATTTTGGACAGCATGTATTAAATTGGGGTTAGCATGTTACAGACAATAATGTCTAGGTAGGGAATAATATGAAGAAAGGGAAATAAACATTAGCAGGGAGTTTGGATGGAGAGGCCCTAGGGAACGGGGGGTACTCCTTATAATGGCCTATATGGGAAGGTTCTGCCTCAAAGGGGTACCTTTTTCCTTCAGGTATATAGAAGGCTAGGGATTTCACTTGTTGAGAAGTATGAAAGGGTAGGAAAATCTATCATTTGGTTATTTTAAGGGACCTTAAATTAAACAATTCCAGATGGACTCACCTTATGGCTGTATCATTTCATTTATTTAGCACTCATAAATATTACAAGAAGACTTCCTTCTCTGGCAGATACAGGTCAGTTATGAAAGTATTTGTAAGGGGTCCCTTTTTCAATGAAAGGTATGTGAAAGAGGTACCTTTCTGTGAAAATGGTATACAAAAGGGTAAACGGTTGGACCATGGGGCAGAGCCTCACCGTATAGAACTTTGTAGGGTCCCTTCCTCCCCCTGATCCCTGAG